CCTTAATTCTTTCCATGTTTGTGGTCACAGAATCCATTCCACAATTCTGGTGAGCCAAGGTACTACTCAATGTTGGGTTTCTCTACACCAGACACTCCCAACAATAACACGATTTGATAAAATTAAAAGGGCTGTATCAAAAGACAAAAGGCTGGTTTCTTAACAAGGAAATGGAAGGAATGTTGAGTATGGCTCTTGTTCTAATCAAACATAAATATAAATATGTTGAATATCATAAAGCAAAAACCCCAAATTTTGGCAGAGCCAATAAGACACTGCTAGAAAATGGAAAATTCTACACATGGCTTCATGGGATGGGTCACAGACAAAACATGGACATGCTAAAAATATTGTATAAAGTTAACTTCCCTCTCTGTGGGTAAGAGTCACAAAACACAGTTGAAGTCCATGTTTAGTTTTTGTACCCAAGATATTCATCACATATGCACAAATATTCCACAATCCAAAACAGTCCTGGTTCCAAGCACTGTACACAAGGATACTCAACCTGTACATCTGTTTTAGGGCACAGCAACCTTCTCAGATGTTCATTTCCTCTGTAAAGTAATTCTACCTAAGTGCCATACTCTTACCCACAGGGCCATTGACCCACAAGTACATGCCATTAGAAAACAAGAAGGAAAGTGAGGGCAGTGAGGCTCCTCTATTCCTCAGTGTGTGAACAATGCATACACACACACTCAACAGAACTGGCCCTGGCCTGCTTCATCCACTTCCTGTGGCCCATCCCAAGGTCCAGGCCTGTGTCTCAGCAGCCTCTGCACCTCTTCACTGCAGGCAGAAGGCTCCAGGCCACACCCCATTAGGCAGCTGCTCTCCTCAGATCTCCAGCAAACCTGACAGGCTCTTACCTCCTCTGCAGATGCCTCCCGGCAATAACAAATGCCTTAGGTTGCACTCATCTTTTTCAAAACCTTTGAAAGCACTTCCAAAATTCTTTCTGACCCTCTTCCCCTCAGTTATCCTTCCTGGGCCATCCATCTATATCCTAGGCTTCTACAAGTAGAACCTTTAGGCTCCTGGTAGCTGTCATCACCACCAAAAAGTGAATAGACTGGAATACCTCAGTAACCCCCCAGCCAGATCCCTGAGTCTCACAGTAAAAAGCAACAGAAAATAGCACTTCTGAACCTCAGAAACAAGGAGCATGTGAAGGCTGACATTGGGAACAAAGCAGCCAGCCCCAGGGGTGGCAGGCTGTCAGTCAACCTGGAGATGCTTTATCCACAGAAGCCCTGCAAAGGTGACCTTGACACCAAGCTGCTCCATGGACAGCATCATGAGGGCAAGGGAAGGACAAGGAGGGCCACTGTGCTGTTGCCAGCCAGCTCTTGACTAAGGTGGGTTCCCTGCTGGGGCCATCCAGATGCAGGTACTATGACCCCACTGTCACAAGCGGAACAGGAGATTCCCTTTTCTAAAGCAGATGCTTCAGTGCAGTAAGGGAAGAGTGTGGTGACAGAGAAGAGGTGGCTTCAGCTCTGTGAGGACCTGGGGACTGTAGGAGGGGAGGGCTGCCTTCCTGTAGGCACAGAAGA